CTCCTCCCCGAACTCCTCTTCCTCCTACTCCTCCTCCTCCTCCCCCTCCCCCTCCCCCTCCTCTTCCTCCCTCCCCCTGTCCTCATCCTGACCTTCCTGCTTATCTCCTCGGGATCCTTCTTCCCACAACGGTCACCCCTCATCAAACGAGCTCCCCCATCCCCGCCCGCTTCGCAATCCAGCTCGCCGTTCCTCGAGGGGGGCTCGGTGGAGTACTTCGCCTGATCTTTCTGGAAGTGGGCTAACGTGATCCTCAGCTGGCGGCGCTGGATGAACCTTCGGGCTATGCGCGTGAGCGAAATCAACGCACGCTGAACGAACCTAGTAAGAAGTCCACTACGTGAATAACCAATGATGGCAATCGATTGGCTGACGGGCGGTCGGCAATAAACTATCGAGCGACGGCCTGACGAATCAGGGAGATGAGGAGGATGAGGAGAGCGAGGCGCACAGAGACACTGAGGAGGGATGAGGAGGATAGGGGAGATGCGGAGGATGAGGAGTGAAGAAATGCAAGACAAAGTGAGGTGGCCGCACGGAACCTGTATCCCGAAACGATGTCTGCCGTCGGCGCTCGTCCTTTAGCTTTCTTGCAGCCCTCGGTGAACGTTTTCTTGAAGCTCCCGTCCCAGCCCGCCTGGCGGGAAAGGGCGTGGGCCTTATGTTGGGCTCTCCTGTCCCCCTCATCGCATATCTATGGGATGCTCAAGGCCAGATCGACCCGCTTGAAACGGGGGCGCCCTGGAGGCAGGCGGCGCGATTTTATAAAACCCTTAGGGGCCTCCATCGTACTCTGGTTGATCCTGAGGCCCTTGGACGCACGATTGAGATTCTCGAGCGCGGGGGTGAAGTCCTATCCCCCAGGGGCTCCACAAGAACAACCATCATCGCGAACGCCTTCACTACTGCTCATGTTTGCTATGTATCGGCGCTACTGCAGCGCTGCTCCTCCTCCTCCTCCCCCTCCTCCTCCTCCTGATCCTATACTTCTACTTCCACTCCTACTCCTACGCCCCGAAACTCCTTTTCTACTCCTATACTCATAATGTGAATCTTAGGATCCTACTATACCCTCCTCGTATACTACTCGTTCTGGCCCTCAGCCTCTCGAGATCTAGCCCCCTCATCGTTTGCCCTGTTCCTCTCGTGGCACTTACCTCTTGTCTCAAATCCCTCAAGGCGGATCCGTCATAGCGCTCCACTGCGGCCGCGCTGAGGAGTTCTTCGGAGTGTAGAACGCATAGTTCGGGATGGTGTAGCCTGCTCAAGCGGCAGGGGGGTGGGCCAAGGGCGCAGCAGGAGAGAAACACGACAACATGATCTGAGATCGGGCGAGCCCCTAAATACCACCGCCACTCTCGATACCACATTTCGCCCTCCTATGCACCGCCGCCACTCTCGATGCGATATCGTCGAGTCAGCATGCACTGAACCTCGTATCGCTGTCATCCCCGCCATGCCGACATCGTCGCGACCAACGCCAGCACCCGTTCTCCCATCGGCGGGCGGGTGCCTGCGATCATCGGCATGTCTGGCACCAGGGAGTTGACCGTGAGAGCCTCGCACGCGGGGAAATGCATTCATACGCATGTCTCGCCGCCCCCCGCCCTCGCTCCATCCCTCCCACTGCCCGACCCTCATTCCTCTCATCCTGCCCTCCACTCCTCGTCGACGGGACCCCTCCCACGCGCTGCTCACGCTGGTCGCCCCCCCTCCAGCAGCGGGCGCCTCGTGAAGAACATCGGCTTCGATCGCAGCAGTCTTTCTGTGCGTCGGGATCGTCTTCGGTATTGCAGCCTCGCGTTGGAGTGGACGGGGCACATAATGAAACGCGGAGCTGGGAGGAGGAGGGGGAGGAGGAGGAGGAGGAGGAGGAGGAGGAGGAGGAGGAGGAGTTGGAGGAGGAGGAGGAGAGAAGAAGAGGAGGAGGAGAGAAGAGGAAGGAAGTGGAGGAGAAGGCGGAGGAGATGGTAGAGGTAGGAGGAGGATAGGGGGAGAGTAGACATATGAAGGAGGATATTGAGATCGGCGCCTGATGGGCTCTGACCAAAACCATGTGTTCAAGATAAGCCACGACGAACTTCGCGCGCGCAGCTCTGCACAGCTGACGCGGCACCCTGCGCCCCTGATCACCGACGCGATGGGAATGCACGAACGGCTTGGGAACATCCTAGAGGAGAACATAAAACTCGAGTCGGTATGATCTCGTGGAAGAAGACGGATGGTGCTGATTAGCGGGCGGCCACAAACTGACACGTACATAACATATCTGACAAGACGCCCCCGAGGCAAGCGTAGGAAGTGGACGAAGAGCAGGAGGAGGAGTGGAAGGCCAGGAATGGAAGAACAGAAGGGGAAGAGGACCAAGAGGAGGAGGAGAAAAATATGTATATATATATATACACACAGGTCCTCTGGCCGCCACGTGGGTATACCCGCGGCGCTGCATGCTGCATCCACTCGGTCCGCGAACTCGGGCATGACCACTTCGCCCGACATCCGCCTTGCGGGGGGGCATGCCAATGCCCTGACCTCGATCGATCACGGGCGACGTATACGTCGCCCGTGATCGATCGAGGTCTGGCACAACCACCCTCGGACGCATGTCGGGCGAGCCCCCCTTCTTCCTGCAGCCCCCCTTCTCCCTGCAACCCCCTCCGGAGCGCCTGCGGCGCCGCGGCCCCTTGGCGGCGCGCGCTGGCGCGCGGCGGGGGCGCGCGCGGCGCCTGCCGAGCGGGCGCCCCACGGCGCCCGCGCGGCTCGAAAGCGGCAGCTGCGCGGCGCGCGCAGGCAGCGCGACGCGCGCAGGCAGCGCGAGGCAGGGGGGGGGAAGAAGAAGAGGAGAAGGAGAGCCCCGAGAAGGAGCAGGAGGAGAGGAGCAGGAAGCTAGAGGAGAAGGAGGAGGAGAGGAACAGGATGAGAAGGAAAGGAGGAGGAGGAGGAGCTAGGAAGAGTGTTTTTTGTGTGTGGAACGTTGTAAAATCTGGCGCTATATATGTACAGCGCTAGCGGCATGTGTGCCAGTGGGTATATCCACTGGCACGCATGGCATGCGCATAATATATACGCACATGCCATATGTCCTATCTTCATTTGCACATATGGCGCACATATACATGATGCACGAAATCGAAAATCGAAACTGAATCCAGAAATTGATACTTAAGGCCGTCTCAATTAAATTGAACCGTGTGGATGTCAGGGGAGCAAGGCGGCCTCGCTCCAGGTCCTCCAAGCGCGGCCCACCTCCCCTATCCACTCGCGGGCCCGGCCGAGCCCCGGGTGAGGGAGGTAGCCTAAACCAGCCTGCCCCAGGTCAGCCTGGAGAGCCTGCTCCTCCTTCCGGACCACATCCAGGATCAAGTGGAGCTCTTCCAGGATCGGCACGGCTACCGCGAGGGGCACCTCCCCTGCAAGCGGGCTGCGCTGCAGGACGCGGATCCAGGCCTCCTGGGCGATGAGGTTGAAATCGCCCCGAGCCCGGTGGAGCATGGCCGGGGAGTCGACGGGGGCGGGGCCCGCTGTACCCCGCGCTCGCGGCCGCTCATAACTACTCCCAGCCTCCCGATGCTCGCCTCCAGCGCCCCGCCGTCCGTCTCTAGCGCCTCGAGGGTCGTCCCACCGAACACCCAGGCCCGGCGTGGGCCGGGCCGCTCCCGGGGGGGGCTCCGTCGCTCCGGACTCGACCTCATGCGGGTTTCCCCCCTGGGGTGCTCCTTCCCGGGGGGGTCTCCCATCCTCGTCGGGTTGGGCATCGACGCCGGCGCCGGGAGCAGGTTCGACTCCGTGCACGTCCGCGTCGGCGTCGGGGCCGCTGAAAGGGGCGTGGTCATCGTCGGCACCGGGGGCGGGCTCGTCGGCGGGGCCGTCGCCAGCGTCAGCGTCCGCTTCATCGTCATCCTCGGCGTCAGCGTCAACATCGGCGTCGGCGTCGGCGTCGGCGTCGGCGTCCGCGTCAGCGTCGCGAGTGTCCGCGTCGGCGTCGGTGCCGGTGCCGGGGCCGTCATCGGCGTCAGCGTCCGCGTCGGCGTCAGCGTCGGCTTCCGCGACGGGGTCGGCGTCAGCGTCAGCACCGGCGTCGGCGCTAGCCCCCGCTTCGCCGAGGGGCAGGGCCCGCGGGCGCGCGGCCGGGACGGGCTCGTCGGCGGGGCCGTCGTCAGCGTCGGCGTCCGCGTCAGCGTCAGCGTTGGCGTCGGCGTCGGCGTCAGCGTCGGCGTCAGCGGCGGCGTCGGCGTCAGCGTCAGCGTCAGCGTCGTCAGCGTCAACGTCCGCGTCGGCGTCAGCATCGGCTTCAGCGTCCGCGTCAACGTCAGCGCCAGCGTCGGCGTTGGCGTTAGCGTCAGCGTCGGCGTCATCGGTGGGCGCGTGGCCGGAGAACTGCCTTCCCCGCGGAGGGGGCGCTCCCTCCCTCCAGGGGGGTGCCGGCGTGCACGTCGCCGTGTCCCGGCGGTCGCCCCCAGCGCCCCGAAGGCCGCCTCCAGCATGCGGAAGATCGCGGAGGCCGCCCACAGCCCGAAGATCGCCAGCGTCCCGAGCTCCTGAACGGTCATCTCCCTCCCCGGGGGGGCCCCTCCCACCGCGGTAAAGGCCAGCGTCCGTTCGGTCGTCGCCATCCCGGTGGCGGGGCGCTCCCGCCTCGGGGTTGTCGTCGGTGAGTGCGTGGCCGGAGAGACGCCCTCCCAGAGGAGGGGGCGCTCCCTCCCTCAGGGGAGGTGCCGGCACACGCGCTGCCCCCGGACCCGGAGACTCGAGTCGGCGCCCGGGCTGCCGGAGTCGGCATCCGCCCGACAAGTGAGGGCGCAAGCGCCGTGGGCATTCCGGCGTCCCGGCAGTCGCCTTCAGCGCCCTGGGCCTCACGGGGACCGCAGCCAGCCTCGGCGTGCGCGTCAGCGGCAGCGTCGGCGTCAGCGTCAGCGTCGGCGTCGTCGGTGATGGCGTCGGCATCGGCGTCAGCGCTGGCCCCCCTGTAGGGGATATTCCCACCTAGAGGTAGACCCCTCCTAGTAGGTCGGCCCGGTGGCCGCCGGCGTCGCGTGGATCGCCGGCAGCCGGAGGATCGCCGGCTCCACGGAGAGCGCCGTCGTCCTGAGGGCCGTCTGCGCTACAGGGCGAGTCTCGAGGCCCACCAGCGCCTGGCGGAGCGGTAGCCCCCCGCCGATCTCCATAGACCCGGGGAGCGCCCGGGGGGTCGCCCGCGCCCCAACTACCGTCTCCAGCATGCCGGGGAGCGTCAGGCCGACCACCTTCAGCTCCCAGAAGGTTTCCTCCTGCCCCACGGGCTCCTCCCGCCTCCCTCTCACCAGGGCCCCATGGTCCCGCGCCGAACATGGCTGCGGCTGCGGCGCCGACTGCGCCGGTGGCGAGGAAGGCGGCGAAGCCGACGGCGGCGGTGAGGACGACGTCGACGACCGCGCGGGTGGCGATGCGGTCGGCGACGACCGTGGCGGGGGCAACGAGGGGGGCCGCGACGAAGCCGGCGATGGCCCGGATGGGGGGGAGGCAGCCCGCGACGTAGAGGGCGGCGGGGACCCCCGCCAGCACCTGCAGCATCGGCGGCGCGCCCTCCGTCGCCTTTGAGGTCGGCGCCGTCGCTGGTGCCGCCTCCTCCCGGAAGGGCCCTCCGCCCTCGTACGCGTCGGCGTCGGGGTCAATGAGGGGGGCGCCATCGTCGTCGACGCCGGGGTCGGGCTCGCCGGCGGGGCCGTCGTCCGCGCCAGCGTCCGCGTCAGCGTCAGCGTCGGCGTCGACGTCAGCGTCAGCGTCAGCGTCGGCGTCCGCCGCGTCAGCGTCAGCGTCGGCACCAGCGTCAGCGTCGGCGCCGTCCGCGTCGGCGTCGGCCACATCGTCGGCATCGGCGTTGGCCCCCCGGTTGAAGGCCTTCCCACCCAGGAGGTGGCCCCCTCCTGGTAGGTCATCGCCGCCGGGGCCCCCAGCATCCCGGGGGTCACCTCCACCGCCCCGAGGGTCACCTCCTCCAGCGTCCCGCAGATCGCCTCCAGCGTCCCGAAGGTCGCCTCCAGCGTCTCGAAGATCGCCAGTAGTGCCCCGAAGAGCGTCCCAAGGAATGTCCCGAGGATCGCCGGCCTCTCCCCCGTAAGGGTCTCCTCCGCCTCGGTGGGGCTCCCTCCCCGAGGTGATGCCCAAACGGGGACGCCCCCCCAAGCCTGGGGGTGGGGCAGGAGCCGGAGGGGTAGCAAGGCCTGGCGTGGGCGAGGGACCCAGATCATTCGTTACCGAAAAATTTCGGTAGCGAAAGGCGCTACCGGTCGTTCTCTGAAACGCTGAAAATTTCGGTCGCCGCTACCGGTCGCGACCGGTCGCGACCGTCGGTCGCTACCGGTCGCGACCGGTCGCGACCGGTAGCGACCGATCGCGACCGTCAGGGCAGAATGGCCTGACGTTTCATTTTTGTCAGGCTCGGATGTCCGCTGTCTTCTTATATATATATATATATATATATGTATGTGAATGTATACATATAGAGATACTTATACATATATTCACATATATATCTATATATATAGTTATATATGTATGTATGTGTGTATATATATGTGTATGTATGTGTGTATATATATACACATACATAGAGGTGTATGTGTACGTTGTATACGTGCTTAATTAACATAGATTTACACATCTGTATGTATATGTATAAAGATATATGTAAGTATACTGTTGAACATCCGTGTATGTATATGTGTATACGTATGTATAAACATAAACTATCAACCTATACACACATACACGCATTTATATACGTGTATATATGTAAATATACATATGCAGATATGCATACATTAGTATAGATATGCAGATATACGCATGCATAGCTACATCCATATGTGGAAACTTATAACTGCACATGTCTAAACAGAGAAACACATATATATATACATATTATGTACGCGTGTAAGCATCTACGTATACATACGCATACATACATATATATATATGCATTTATATGTACACATATATGTATGAATTTAACATCATAACTAAATTGCGTGGATATGATCGATGAATCACAGCGCGTGGGATAGCGTAACGATGAGGTCCTCCAGATTTCCTGGAACCTGTAGCGGCAGTATCGCCGTCCGCCTCCTCCTCCAAAACCTCTTTCTCCTCCTCGTCCGCGTCGCTTTTTCCCCCTCCACAGAAACCTCACCCGCCCCCTCCTCCAAACCCTTCTCACCCTTCGAAACGGCACGTTCTCCCGACAGCCATTTTGGCTAGAAGCAGCCGCCATGGCTGCCGCGCGGGGCCGTTCCTCTTCGGGGGCCCGCAGGGGCCAGATGGCCCCTCGGCGGCCAGCGCCGCCACTCGAGGACGGCCTCGAGGCGGCCCTCCTCCACCACGTGGAGACCGTGGGCGTCGGCACTGCCCTCGACATAGGGCAGTACGAGCACCTCACGCGGGACAAAGCTGTCCACGCGGACAGCCTCGCCAAGAATCCAGAGTTGGCGGTCGGACTGCACCAAAAATCGTTACAGGAGGTTGAGGGAGGATTGTTGTTAGGAGGTACACAAGCGGGAATAGCATGGAAGGGGGTCGGGAGGACCTGGGGACGTCGACGAGGTAGGAGGAGGTGGGAAGGGGATCACGTTCGGATCCCGTTGGGGCCACCCTCCTCCTCCGTCCTCCTCCTCCTCCTCCTCCTGCTTCTTGTCCCCATCCTCCTTTTTTTTGTGAGCAAACATTATTAAACTGATTCGTGTTGTGGTTATGTTTTGTTGCTGTTGCTGTTGTGCGGTTGTAGTTGTTGTTGTGTTGTTGTTGCTTTTATGGTGTAGCAGTAGTAGTAGTAGTAGTAGTTGTTGTTGTTGTTGTTGTAAAGGTTGCTGTTGTGTGTGTGTTTGTGTATGGGTGTGGGTTTGTTGTTGTTGTGGGTACTGTTGGTGTGGCTGGTGTTATTGTTGGTGTTGCAGTTGTTGTTGTTATCGTTGTGTCTTGAATCTGATCATGTTGATGGGGGTCGGGTCGGATGAACATGGGTGTGGTGGGAGAGGTGGTGGAAGGGGCGGCTGTTTGTTTGGTTGGGAGGGTATTTGCACTTTGATGTTGTGTTGTCCCCTGGATGCCTTGAGTAGGCGGTGCCCATCAGAAAGTGCCTTCAACTCACATGTTGCGTCCTGATTCTTCCTGGAGTGCAGCCTCTTGGATGATACAATTATATACTGCTCCCTGTGCAGGTGGAGCTGCTGCTGACGCACGTGCCAGAGGCGGAGGCTCGCTGGTCAGAGATGCGCGCGGCCTGCGTCGCCGTCGTGAGACGGTGCTATTGGCCAGAAAGGAGGAGGGTGGAATGATGATGCGGGGGAGTTTGTAAAAAGGAGAGGGGGAGATGAGACGGAAACGGAGGAGCCTTCATGATGTTGCTCATCCTCCTTGCCATCCTCCTCCCTCGTCCCCCCCCTCCTCCTCCTCCTCCTCCTCCTCCGTGTCAGTCTCCCTTCCCCCCTCCTCCTCCCCCCCCTTCCTCCCCCTCCTCCTCCTCCTCCTCCTCATCCCCTCCCCTCCTGCTCCGTCGTCCGCCCCCCCCCCTCTGCCTCCTCCTACCCGATCTCCTCATTGCACCACATGTAGCGCAATATCCCGCAGGCACCCGCGTTCCATTCGCGAAGCTGCTGGGACACCAGATGCTCGCGGTGGCAGCTTCGCCGACAAACTCGGGTGCATGCTGAAACATCTGCGACGGCTCCGCGACAGCAGCACCAGACGCCGCCAGGCCCCGTGAATCAGGAGCATGATCATGAGGTTAAGGAACCTGATGACTATGAGACTACGGAGGAAGAGGGGGGGGGCGAAGGATGGTGATGATGGCGGTGGTGATGGCGAAGAGGAACGTGACAGAGACGACGAGGGTGACGATGAGGAGGGATCGCCCTGCTCCTCCTTCTACCTCTCCTTGCCCTCGTGCCCCCCATTCCTCTTCCCCCCTCCTCCTTCTCCTCATTCTCCTCATCCTGCCCATTCCTTGGGGCTGCGATCTGTGTAACTGTCGCCACTTTCGTGGGCTCCTGGGAGGCCCAGCCGAGGTACGTCCCACGCGGATCACCTCGGGACCTCGCGGTGCCTTGGGGGCTGCGATCCGCGCAACTGTCGCCACTTTCGTGGGCTCCTGGGAAGCCCAGCGGAGGTGCGTCCACACGGACCACCGCGGGACCTCGCGGTGTCCTGGGGGCTGCGATTTGCGCAATTGTCGTCATGTTCGTGGGCTCGTGGCTGCGTACTGACGTCAACCTGACGTTATACTGATGTCAGCCTGACGTCAAGCTGACGTAAGCCAGTGTCCGTCAACTAGTAGTTCGGTGTGATGTCAGACTGACATCAACCTTGGGCCACGTTGACGTCAGCCTGGCTGACGTCAGTCTGACATCAGACTGGCGTCAGCTCGGGTGACGTCAGCATAACTGACGTTAGACTAACGTCAGTCTGACATCAGCCTGGCTGACGTCAGTCTGACGTCGGGCAGACGTCAATCTGACGTCGGGCAGACGTCAGCCTGACGTCGGGCAGACGTCAGCCTGACGTCGGGCAGACGTCAGCCTGACGTCGGGCAGACGTCAGGCCTGACGTCGGGCAGACGTCAATCTGACGTCGGGCAGACGTCAGCCTGACGTCGGGCAGACGTCAGCCTGACGTCGGGCAGACGTCAACCTGACGTCAGGCTGGCGTGACACCGTTGAGAGTGCCTCTCGCCCCTTACCCACCAGGCGCTCAGGAAATGCAGCAGCCAGACGATTGACACGATCTGGTACTACCTGCACCTCATGGGCTGTCGCGACGAGCCTGAGGACTACCGTTGCAGGACTGCTGGAGGGGACAACATGACCAGGGTGGCGATTCGGAGGAGGAGGAGGAGGAGGAGGAGGCGGAGGAGGAGGAGGAGGAGGAAGAGAAGGACGAGGCGGGGGTGAGTGGGAGGATGCAGAAACACGGCGGATGATTAAGAGGATAAGTAGGAGGAGGATACTCATGACGATGAGGGGGGGGGAAGCGGAGGACAAAGACGACAGAGGAGGACAGGGGGGTGATATGGGGTAAGGGGGTGGGAATCCTTTCCAAGGTTGGGAGTTCTGGGCCACCCCCAAAAGGGTGGCCGAGGGGCCAAAGATCGGGCGTTATGATTCCTCAGAGGGGGCGTCGGGTTGGCCTCCCTGTCCTCGTCCTCCTCTTGGTTCTCGTTCTCGTCCGCCTCCGCCTCCTTCTCCTCCGTCAACCCTGTTCCTCCCCCTCCTCCTCTTCCTCCTCCCTCCTCCTCGTCCTACTCCTCCTCGTCCTACTCCTCGTCCTCCTCCTCCTCCTCCTCCTCCTCCTCCTCCTCCCTTCCGCTCTCCGAGGACAAGGTCTCCCGCTGGCCCAGCGCGCGCCGCGACGCCATCGCAGAGGACGAAGCGCGCTGCCAGCTACTACCCGTCCGACTGCATGATCCCGCTCGGCGATGCTGACGTGCTGGAGAGCTTGGCAGCCGAGTACAAGCAAGAGCGGAACTTCGACAAGCATGAGCGGACCTTCGACAAGCCAGAGCGGAACTTCGACAAGCATGA